CTCAGCCACCGCCACCCCCAATGCTGTCCTTGAGAAGGGAAGGAAATAAACCTCAAAACCCAAAGAAGTGTCTGGTACTGAGAAGGCATCTCTGATTAGTGATTTGGAAGGTTCACTCAGGGCAACTGTTGGTGGGAAAACTCCCAGGGCTGTTGGTGTTGTCTCAGGTCTGAGCAAGGAGGGCCGAGTCTAGCCTGCCTGTAATGGATGGAACCGAGAACACTTCTGAAAACTGAAACCCTGACCGAGTTTTAGCTAAGTTAATACAAATTTTGTAACTTACTGGGGTTGAGGAAGGGAAGGAGACTCGTTTCTTCCTCTTATGCATTTATGTTAGTAAAATATGGAAAGGCTGCCCCCCTCCCTATTTTAGAGCTGGGAAACCCCTTCTGATAATGATTACAATTTTATAGTGAGAAAGAAATCAGGAAGAGTTATTGTGTGAAGCCATACTTGGTTTTCATTTCGAGTTGACGTATATGAATGTGAAACACTTACCCAGAGCATGGTGCTTCATTTCTGCAGTGTCGGTGTGTGTGCAGTATCAAGGACGGTGACTTTGGTCTCAGGCTGAGATGGTTCTTCCCCTCCTTGCTGTCTGAAGGCTTCTCTTTGTATTTAATACCCAAAGTTCTACGCAGTCCCATGTCCACGAGAGGAAATCAGCTTAAATGGTGCTTTGTAGTAACCTTGCTTTTGGTAGAAAACTCACATTTTGTTCATCAGTTTTAGCAAATTTTAGTTCAATTTCCTTTTCTTTGAATTATCATTGATGTTAAGTTCTATCGGCTACATGATGCTTGTCAGTGATTCAGCCTCCTATCTTCTGTACTTGGTCAATATATGTCACATCATCAGGGTAAATATGATTTCCTGCCCATGCAGCATAATGAACTGACTGAGAACTGGTCATTGGTGTTCCCCTTTGAAGTAATCTCGCTGGCAGTTGAAGGCACAGGAATGTTTATTGCAGCTAGTAAACACAAAAGCAGGTTACCGGTCTGAAAGACCACAGCCTAGTCTGAAATGTCCAGGGCTGTTGGGATGTACACAGTGCTGAGGCATATTCCTGGAAGTCACTCCCCAGCCGGGGAAGGCTTCCTAGTAAGGGATGCATTAATTGACTTTTTACGTGGCTGAGTAATAGGATGTGCAGATCTAAAGAGGTCACGACTGAGGTTTGTAGACGATGGCTGTGGTTCACAGAAGCAAGATTAGGATAAAGTAGCTGGAATCTTCTTGTTTTGAGAATGAGACAGAAGCATAGGAGGTTGTCCGTCCGAAGCCTGGATTTGTTGAAGATTGTAATTAGAGCTAGTCTAAGGGGTACTGTGCTGTCTCCAGTTTTACTAAGACATAAACTGTTAGATGGTGCTGCTCTGCCCATTCTTCCTCCTTGCCATGCTAAGCTTTTTGATGTGTTTGGACAAAGATTTTCTAAAAATCTAAATACAAATAAGTAGTTAATCTGAGGTATTATTGAAAGTAATCTTTTGTTTGTTGGGAGGATATTCAGTAGCCCATTTCTGTGTTTGTTCTAAGTTTTATTTTGCTTTGTAGGAAATACCTGCTCCCTCTATTTTTTTTTAAAGTTGTAGCATTTTTTTTTGTTTCATTTTTTTTTCTTTCTATTTTTGTAAGCCAGATGAGCCTTGAACTGTGACCTTCCTGCTTCAGGCTCCAGATTGTTCAGATTATAGGTGTGCGCCAGCGTGCCAGGCTTTGTAGGGTCCTTGCAGGTGGTTTGAAGGGCTGGTCTGGTAGCCTCATGTATGTGTGTGAGTTTCCTTCGGCTCCAGCTCATGTTAGGAGCAAAGCTTTCTTGGATTCCTCTCACTGTATTTATTTATTCATTCTATTCTTAGCTGATTGTGGTTTGTAAGTATTTCAGCTTTCATTAACATTTGTTCAATGAAGGGTTGTTTTTAATTTGGATCACAGCAGTAAAATCTTCTGACTTAGTTTTCAAAAATTGCACTCAAAGTATGAACTTCTGGAAATAATTTTATTTGATGTGAAAGTGATTCGTTATAGGTTGTAGAATGAGAAAAAAATAAATTTGATATTCTTTTTACTTACTGCACAGGCAAATGAGCTCCATCTTTATTTGCATAAAAGAAGCCATGACTTTATACATTCCAGAATTTTCTTTTTGCCAGAAACAGACATTTACACAGAGTCCCCAAGTCAAGTGGACTGTGCATTGTAACGTGTGTTTCACATTCTCAAGCCTTAAGAAGAGTACATGGAATTTCAGTGTGTAAAATCTGTTTCTGAAGTAGTAGTGCTGGCCAAAGACCACAAGAGAGGTCTTGGTTGTGCGGTTTCCCTTGCCTTTCCCTCTCCCCCACACAGGCTCGCCTATCTTGGCAGCTGTTTCTTACAAGGCAGACATCAGTCCTTGATTTCTTCCTTCCTTTTCTTCCCACAAACAAGGACTCTTTCAAATAGTGGGTGACCAAAGACAGACGGATCTTGGATCGCTCTAAGAAACTGGAAACGGGTAAGAGTGGTACAGTGGGCAAGCTGCCTGTGTGGAAAGCTCGCCGAGAGAGGAGAGAATCCAGTGCAAGGAAAACTTGGAGAGGCAAAATTCTTTGCTTGCTCATGGAGCCGTCCAAAGACTGCCTCAGTTTTAATTGTAGCAATGAATGCTTATCATTCACATATTGAAATCATTCTCAACGGCCTGGTCAGGTGACTGAAGAGATTGAAATGGGTGAGAAAGTGTTCATTGATGAGTTAGTTGCGTGTCAGAGCACTAGCTGTTTAATCCGTCTAATGTCGAATAACTTTCAGTGTTGAGATTGGGAACTTTGCCATGTGAGTATAGACTACAGATTTCTTTGATTGTCCTTTGACTAACCCTGGGAAAGATTATCAGAGAGCTGGTTAGTTCTGCATGTGAAGATGTGTCCTGGCTCCATCAGATTAAGTTTGGATGCCTTCCTGCTTCCTGTGTTGTTTGCATTCAGAGGAGGAAGAAACATGCTGCCTCTTGTTTCTGTTTTATTTCTTTTGATAGAGAAGCTTCTATGGAGTGTTCTTAGAGCTGCATGATCCCCACTGCTCCCTTCATCATGACCATACCTAGAATGTCTTCAGTGTATTCACAGAGCTAAAATATGGGCTGAAATGTGTATAGGTATACAGACATAGTTTTATCCCTTAACCTGTAGGCAAGAGAAAACCAATTTCTTATAATACAAATGTCTTGATAGCTTTTCATCTGAGATTTTTGTAGGTTTTTATATGCAAATTCTAGAGAGTAGATTCAGAGTAATTTGTTTCTTACGTGCTTTTTGGTATATTTGTTGCTGACAGCTGTGATAATCCCTTTGTAGTTTGATGAATGTTATGTTTCAAACCATTTAGAATCTGACCGCTTTTCCATTGAAGTTCTAGCATAGTGATGTCTAACGGAATAGAGGGAACTGCTAATAGAATGTGGTACATGGAGCTTCTAACAGATATGAGTCATTCAGATGATGTGACAGAATACTTGATTAGCAGGGAAATTTTGGTTTGCTGTTATTTTTCATGTTTTAGTGATAGAATGCAAATTACTAAGAATTTGTCTTGAGTCATGTACACAACCTGAGAGAGGCAAAAAGTAGAAATTTCTTCGTGTCCCCACTTTATAGAACTCTTTATTTAAGGTTAGGGTTGGTAGCTCAGTGGTGTAGTGCTCGCTTAGTGCAGATTAGGCCTTGGGTTCAATCCCTGGTCCTGCCCCTTGCCCCACAGCAAACACTACACAATTCCATGGTTCCAGCTTGTGAGGGGACCATTAAGAGAGCAGTGGTTTCCTTATCATGGGGGGCTGTACCAGGAAGTTCAAGTGTATTTGGGAACTGTCTTGATTTCATGTGTGTTATAAGGCTCTGTGACTCCTTATACTACTCTATAAGGAGGTAAACCAGTTGTCTGGAAGACTTCAGATGATCTATTTTCATGTGATCCTAGGAGCTGATGATACTTTGAAACCACACTCATTCTTTTGTTCTCTCTCTAGTTTTGGAAGATGGGCCCATCCGGGATGATCAAAACCTATATCAGTTATTAGGATCAACCATGTATCAGTTATTTTTAAAAAGCCATGTGACTCAGTCTTGTAACACACACCTTTAATGCCAGTGCTCAGGCTGGGGCAGGAAGATCATGAATTTCAGAATAACCTAGACTTAGATGCTTCTTCAAAAAGAAAAGAAAAGAAACCCCCAAAGCCCTTGAAGATACAGTGCTCAGGATCTTTGGGTATTTCTTTGGGTCGAGTAGACTCGGTAATTTTACTTTGATCTTAACTTATACCTTACTCAAAGAAAAGCCATGGCAGGAAACCTAAAGCATTAAAATGAAGTAGTTTTGAGACAATAACTAACTGCTTCTTCTATGAGTAATTAGCAGAGAAGTAATGGTTGAAGATGGTATTTTAAGTGCATGTGCTGTAAATGAACATACACCCATATGTTAACAACTATTTACCTTTGTTTAAAAAAAAATGAGTTCATCAGATCTGCAATCTCTCTTGCAAGACAACTGAGGAAAATATTAAATTATATTACCTTTACTGTGATCAATAAATGCACATGTGTTTATACATTTATTTAGAGGTGTTATGTATTCCAAAGCTACTTCTGTGATCAAAAGGTTAATGCCATGGAGAGATGGATGTATTATCTCAAGTGATTTTTTTAAGCATTCATGCTTTCCTAAGAGAGCATCATTACTAGAATATATATATATATATATATGTATATATATATATATATATATATACATACTTATGAATGTGATTGTCTATGCATTTGGGGGAGCTTCTTTTTTTCAGAATGCCTCAGATACTATATGTGTAGGAGCAGTTACCTTCCTGGATATGCAATCAGAATGTATTTTATACTTATGAAATGGAGGGAAGGGCAGAGGGTTGTTAATTCTGCATTTGCAGTGACGACATACCAGAGTCTTAAAGTAAGTGATGGATTTGTTTGTTTTTTCAGATATGAAGATCAATGATGCAGACTGCTGGGTTCGATGAAGCTGGGCATTTATAACTAGATTCATTAAGGAATACAAAGAAAATATTTAAAGGGATCAATAATGGTGTCTTCTGGTTGCAGAATGCGAAGTCTGTGGTTTATCATTATAATCAGTTTCTCACCGAATACAGAAGGTAAGACACAGTTCACATTTTCTTTCTGAAACCCAAGAGAACACGAAGGATGTAATCTTCTTTGTGTTAAAGTGGCTACATTCTTATTTTGTTATTTTAAAAGTAAGTGTTGAATTTATTTTGTAGTGGCTAAATTATTTCCCTTACACTGTTCTCTGGTAAAGAACATTCTAGATGCCTTATTTGATATCATTATAATAATTTTCAGCAGTCTTTTGGCATGTATTTTACATGTATTGGTTGCCTTTATTCCAGAAAACTTGAATTCTTTTGTTACGACTTTTTTCACTTTAGTTTTTTTTTAAACTCTGTTTTAGAAGTTGCAGTTGTTAATTTGCTTCTAAGTCATATTTCTGCAACATCTGGAATAAAATGCATCTTATTTATGAATATACATCCACACTTTGCAGTGTGAAAATTTTCAGAAAGATATCAACTTTCCCTATTTTCAAGAATGACAGAATTTCTGACACTGAGCCATAACCCCATTCCTTACAAAATGTTTAAATTTAAAAATAATTGTGAGTAAAGTTTTTAGAACAGACATAATTTTCAAAGAACTAAATGTGCACTTATAGATTTTTTATTCTAAATAACGGGAGCTATCATTTATTAATTTCTAAATGGATTTTTCTGATACCCATTATTTATGGTCTTCAGTATTAGTCACCTAAAAATAAATGGTCATGCAGGTGCTTTTTAGATCAGGCCTGAAATGAACACAGTGGTAACGTGTGACAATGTTGTACCTAGTATATCATGACAATATTTAAACTTAACAAGACAATATACTAACTTAAGAAACCTTTTAGAAATACTTGCATATACAATGGATTCTTTTAGTCTCAGCAAATAAAGCACTGGACTTATAAAATTGGTTTTATTAGTACTTTTCAATGCCCCAGTTTTACATAGTAATGAAGTGATAGGGGAATGGCACATTATCAAGTGTGGAGAAGCCATTGTCCATTGTCTTTGTGAGGGACTTTGACAAATTAAGCATTTTCATTTTGTCAGAAGGAGTTTGTTTAAACTACTTGTTTTAAAGTTGTGTTTTATTTTTCTGCCTGCTCTCCCTGTTTTCTACATCCGATTAATGAATACAACTTAATATAATTTAAACGATTAACATATTCGGGATTATTTGAAAATATTTCATATTTGGAACATACATATTCACTTGAAAGTTACACACAGGCTAATACTTAATTTGAAGACAACATAGTTATTTGCTTTAGAATTGAAGATGGGAAATCTAAAAGTGTAATATGTCTGAATAACTAGTACTATAATGATAAACAGGCAGAAACTGAGTTTAATAATATGAATCTCAGGCATGGATTGCTGTGAAAATCATATGTATGGTCTATAATTTTGCATCTGCTTTTTTGGGAAAACACTGTCTGAATTCCTGCTGTTATATTTGAGTGTTTTTATACATTGAAAAAGATTCCAGGTGTGGACCAATGGCTCATTAGTCCAATAATGAAAAATTTTCCAATCAAGACAGAGACCACTTTGCCAGCACAGTCGCTTCGCTCTGAGGGGGGCCGCGTGCAGAGGCTTTTTCATGAGATGCTGTGGTTTTATTTCGTGTGTCACCTCTCAGGTCAGGATTCATATCCGCTCTTAAGAGAAATTTCATTTTTGCCCCATCAGGCCAGGGACATGTTGCTTTTGAAAGAATTCCCTCCTACTGTCAAGAAAAGAGCCAGGGAGGGACTCACACTGCCGCCTTTAAGAGGAGCCACAGTGAGCGCACACTGCTAGAAAGTCTCGTGGCGGAACGTGAGGTTGTCTTGGAAGAGTTGTGCGTGACACTGTCCGCCTTTATTACCAGAAGCCAGATAATGACCTGCGAACACCTGTTGAGAAACCAATCAAAGTTAGGTGTAAAGGGCAGGGGACAGAAGATAGAAATTTAAATTCTCAGCCATTAAGCTGCTGCTTACATGATTTCTCTCTCTCTCTCTCTCTCTCTCTCTCTCTCTCTCTCTCTCTCTCTCTCTCTCTCTCTCTCTCTCCCTCCCTCCCCCTCCCTCCCTCCCTCCCTCCCTCCGTCCCCTTTTTAACTAAGTTTACTTTTTTCAATTAAAAGTGTGTGTGTCTGTCTGTCTGTCTGTATGTGTGTATATATTTGTGTGCTGGCGCATGTGGTTTTTCAGGTGTATGGAGGCCAAAAGATGATGTAGGTAGCCCTGTTCTGTCACACACTGAGGACTCATTCCCTACATAGAAGGTGTTTAACTGACCTTGGAGTTGGCTGCTGTCATTAAGCCCCAGCAATCCATTTGTCTCTGCCCCCACAATGCCACACCTAGCTTTTTATGTGGATTCTGGGATTTGAACTCATGTCCTAAAATTCCAGAGCAAGCACTCTTACCGAGGATATGTAGTCATCCCCCCACTGTTGCCTTTGCAGAGATGAGTGATGAGAGATGACTATTTGTAGAAATATTTGTAGTAGTTCCAAAGAACTCACAAACACTCACAAACCTAATGGGGTTTCCTCCCTCTGTGCGCATTATTGGGTGTTAAACCTGAATGGGTGCCTGAGATTGAGAGATGCGCACAGTAGGCCTCTCCTTCAGGGGCTTGTGTTCCCTTGCTGGGAATGGAGACTCAAGAATGCATTGGGGTTCAGCAGGCCATGGCATTGCTGCACCTCGAGGTTTGCCACAGACTAAAACCCACCTGCCAAGCCCACCCAGGGTTGGATTCTTTCCAGTACTGAACCAGTTTTGCCAGTTCTTTACCCTTTCAGTAAAACCCAGAGGTAAGAGTTTTCATACCACTAAAGATTAGGGGAAAAAAAAAGCAAACCCTCCAACCTGGTGCATCACAGAAGCTCCTGGGCCATCTCTCCATCCTTCAGTGCTTTTATTTCTCCTGTGTATGTGCTTTTTCCTTCGGATAAGTGTGGAGGCTTAACGTGGTTTTGAATTTGCTCTGTATTAGTACCCATGTGAGAGGTGTATCTCAAAGTCTATGAGGTATCTATTCGGTGCTTAGACAAATCTCATCACTATGACATATTTCTTGTGCAAAATCTTCCAGATTTTTTTTAAGTGCTGGGCTAGAACCCAGGACCTTTGCTTGCTGTGGGAATACTCTGTCACTGAGCTATGCCCTCATCTCTTCCTGTGCACACCTGAAAGCAAATTCAGTACTCATTTGAAATGTTTTAAGATGATAAAAATAATGATATGAAAATTTAGCTACTTGTATTCTGTTGGTCCATTAGTTCACCGTGTGATTTTTTTTTCCCCAAAACAATGCACTGCTCTGTTCTTGAGTCTCCTGTGCAATTTTGGAGATTGTGTAGGGTCTCTGTACAAACAGTGATAATATGGAGACCATATTTTGAAATGCTTTGTAAATTTTTCCATAGAATTGATTTATATTTCTATAGAGCTAACCTTGCCTTTCACAAGTCGGTTCTGTTGAGAACCTGGTGTGCTTTGATTATTTTGGCCAAGTTTTATAAGCACAGTAACCCACTGTGGAATCATGTATCAGTAAGTAGGAAAGTAAATTGAATTTTTGTGTCCTAGAGAATTAAATTATGCCATCTAATGGAGCCCTGGCAAGCATAAGTCGGACCCACGAAGGCTCACTCGGGTGACAGCTTACAGATAATGGCAGTTCTTCAGCAACGCCAGGAATGTCAGTTTTAGGCCGAGTTCTTTATGCCACGAATGTATCATTAGACCTCACAACTCTGAATTCTAGTTAATTAACTCAGAGGACATTGTTGCTTACCCCGATTTCCAAGACAAATGTCGTAACAGATGCAAATGGCAAACCGAAATCCACAATTTTGTAGAAATCCGGAAAAATCTGAGAACGTACTGGAAATAGTATCAAGCCAGTTTGGAAATGGCACAATTTTCATGTAACTTTTTCACTAATGTTATTTTACTACTGTTTTTAATGTGTAGCTGTGGAACAAAGGCAGGGATGCAATTAGATATGACTTAGGAAGGTTCCGTGGTATACAGATGCTTCTTTCAGAACGGTCTGAGTTTGGTGCCAGAAGTGATTGTACTGCGCTGCTGACCTGAAGGGGGAGCAGAACAGTTCAGGCCGCCAGAATCACTTTCCCTGCGTCCACAGTCATATAATAAATACGCACCACATAAGCCTGCGTACACACATGCACACACACGTAACATGTCAGCCTCCCAGGATCAGGGAATGTCCCTGCCTGCTGTTATCTGGTTTCCTGTAATCAGCCAGTCTGCCTCCATCACAGGAGGGTGTGATTCTCGAAGACATAATTGTAGTAGTGGGGAGGGAACAGGAGCTTTTGGATAATAGTGTGATAACCAGGTCTTTACAGAGGCGAGGCAGTCACTATCACTAACTTACGATCCCAGTCTGGATTGTAAGTTTTTGAGAATTACTTTTGAAAAAAAAATGTGATTTTATTCACGATGATTCAGAAGGTGGTAAAAACCATTTGCCTTCTTGGGATTTATGTTTGCATTTTCAGATTATTTTATTTCATTTATTCATGTTTATTTTTTAATCTTGGTCAGGCTCATTGAGTGTAGCCATAGACTCTGGGAAAGGTTTTTTTTTTTTTTTTGTTTATTTAACCTATTTTGGCAGTGAACTAAGAAGAGAAAAGAAATATTCACACTGAATTGCAAAGATAGAATTAGCAGCTGGGTGAGCATGGCTTAGTCGCACTCCCGGGCTTGGGGCTGGTGTCTTCACAGTGGTACCTGTTTCGTTTTCTTCCTGGGAATGCGTACGGCCCTCCTGAGCTAGCTGACTCACAGAAGCCATACTAGATTTCAGAGCCCAGCGAGATCGCCTACTTTTGTTCATTTCAGTGTGTTTGATTAGTTGATGTCTAGGACGTGAATTTCCAGCAAGGTACATGGGGATTTGGCTGTATGACTCCTATTAAACTTAATGGAAGTCATAACTCCCATTAAATTAATAGGAATTCTGCCTGTGCTGGCTGCATAGCTAATGTAACCTCATTGTTT